TTCCCTTTTTTTTCCCTCCTCTCTCTCTCCTCCCTCTTCACATTATCCTTTTCTTGCTTCCGTTCCATTGATTCGAGAACTGTTGTCAGACTTTTTTCAGAATCTTTTCCGATTTGCGAATGATATCGTGTCCTTTCAACGCTAATGACGATCTCGCGAAATTGGAGTGATGAGGTGCTTTCTGCGGATACCTGTATCTTCTCTATGGCATGTTGGGGTTTGCATTATGGAAATGTGAGTGGGGAATAAATTGCTTTTGAAAAATGTAAAAGGTTTGGAAATAGTTGCTTATTTGAGATACCTGTGTCTTCTCTATGGCATGTTGGGGTATGCATTATGAAAGCGTGCATGGGTGGTAAATTGTTTTTTGTAAAAGGTTTGGAAATGGTTGCTTATTCGTGATGCCTCCTTGAAATAGAGAAACACCCTCACCCCCCTCGCTTCGTTTCGCCACCTTCGCATGATCGGCAAAACTTCGGCTTAAGGAATGGCCTCGTTCTTACCCTCACCACAAATGGACACACGGATGGTCTTACCCTGCTGCTATGAAAAATCGCCTCCCTCGTTTTAAGGCTTGCTCACAGTGTGTCGACGCAGTCAGTCGGAGTAGTGCGAGTATGACATGTTGTGCTCGTACGAAACTCATGTGACACACACATGCTACACATGCTACACATCCACACACTCACACAAATTCACACACGCACACACATTCACACACACAAATTCAAACACACACTTACACCCACACCCACACACATACATACATTCGCACACAGACATACACATTCACACACACACACACACACGCGTATTAATCGTCCTTGCAAAATAACATTATTATTATTATTTTTTTCATTCCTTTCTTTTTTCCTACGTAGCACCGTGTTCGCGTTCGGAGGCAAACGCGAACATGTTCGCCCGAACGCGAACAAGCGCCAAAAACCCTCCGAACGCAAACATAAAAAATATTTAAATAAATAAATAAATCTTAGAAAAATCTGAAAAATATATATGTTATGTAAAATAACAATACAAGCAACTTTTGCCTTGGAATCATGTCCAAATTCGTAGCCAAACATGAGTTAAAAATCAAAAATCAATTATTTTTATTTTTATTTTTACAAAAAAAAAATAAATTCGCCCTAACATGTTCACGAGCTGTTCGTGTAAACGCGCAAACACGTTCGCGCGAACGTGAAGGGGCGCAAACACGTTCGCCGTGCTACGCGGTTTTTTTCCTTATTACAAAAAAAAAACCAAAAAAACATAAAATCGAAGAAGACAAAGAACTGTCAACCAAAAATCCCCCCCCTCAAATTTTATTTATTTTTTTTTTTAATTCGTACTCTTAGTTTTTTCTATTTTTTATTTTGTATAATGTCATAAAATTCATTGTTTCCTTTAAAAAAATATATGAGGTTCAACTGTTTTTTTTTTTTTTTGCTTATTATTTCCGAAAGAAAAAATCCGTGAAAAACGTGGTGGCTATGCGACTAACCCCAGCTGCGGATGTTGCCATGAACATGGCTGCTCTTCGAGCCTAACCCCGCGGCCAACCTCTGCTTGAACGAGAATGGACTTTGGTCAACCGACAGTGGGATTATAGTTCTGAAGTCTTTGTAGGACCAATTTTACACCCTAGCATGATCCCACACAAACTTTCTGACTCCATCAGCAACCAAAGTCTCCTTTCATACTATTGGTCATTTTACCGGATTATCATCAATATAAGGGTTAGTTATCTCAGGGAAAATATCATGCACGACTTGGATCATATCCCTTTGAGCCACTGCCACACTATTAGTCCATCCCTGAGGTATCACGCACATCTGAATAAGCCCCTTTGGTGTGCGCATGACAGTATTTGAATTGATAATGTCATCTATGAGAAAATGATCGTAATCAGAATATAAACCAATCAAAGAGTAAATATATCGACCAGCAAAGGATTCAGAAAGGAGATCAACATTAGGGAGACTACCTGCATCATGTACCGTCACTGAGTTGAGCTTTGAAGATTTTGTATCTATCTTAAACCACCTTCTGGTTTCCAAAATCAAAACAAGTTATTAACATACGATCCATCAGAAGGTTCAATAACATTAAAACCAATCTTTTATCATGATATTTAACTACCTCTGCCTCTTCGTTTTGAACATACTTGGTTGGTCTGTCATTCCATGGAATATAATCAACTGTCCAAATCTTAGCCATCTTTATCATATACACGTCCAACCGCCTTTTTTTTTCATTATTAAAAGAAAATACACCAGAGAATTTATGACACCCTTTGAAGATATATTATTTTTCTTTGCCGGATAACTGATATGAGCCTACCTTCGTCGTGTCAAACCTTTCCCTGGTGCCCCTGTTCCCCAAGTTTTTTAATTCCCTTAGTGCTATAATATTC